CGTAGTCGTAGTCGTAGTTGTAGTCGCAGTCGTAGTCGTAGTAGTCGTAGCAGCAGTGGCAGTACCTTGGAACGGAGCTTGAGTTGTTGTTTGCCTTCGTCTTATCCATTGGAGTCGATGACTGCATCCAGGTATCGGCAAGGGTCTGGTGGAGGCACGGTGTGCGGCTTTCATTGCCAGCCTCTTGCATGGATACTGCACACGGGAATCGACGCTGAAGCCCATCAACCCTGAGAGCTGGGGCTGCCATGTGATCGTGCATGTAATGTATAATGTGGGTGGTAACAGAGCTAGACTTCGCGAGTGTCACCCCGGGTCTCGCAGCTTTGTTGCGAAAGCAGGATTGGAATGAGTACGCATTCGCCGACGCAAAGGCCACGGAGGGGGCTTGCTGTTGAGCCAGGACCACGAAGGCGGTAAGGGGAAGTGGCGAGCGGAAGGCCGAGCTTAGTATAGGTCCATCTCTGCGGCACCCTAAATGCCAGGCACTGAACATGCAAGTAAGTGCACAGTGCATCTTCGGAGTTTTTTGGTGGAAAGAGCCCACAAAGCAACCCGGACGTGCAGGTTCGGGTCAAGGACCGCATAGTCGAGGCTGACCCGAAGCTTTGCTTTTGCCCTTCTGGGGCTGACAGCATCTTACGGGATGGAGGAACATCTCATATCTCAAAGTGAAGCTTAAACCCCAAACCACTGCCGGAATATCGCAATCGGCTACACATGTTTAGAGTGTTTACGGAAGGCGTGCCCCATCCGATCCATATCTCCCCCGGCTATTCATGCAGTGGGGTGGCTGAGCCAGAAGAAGCTCTGTGCACAAATTCAGGCTGAACTTTCGTTCGAAGACTTCCTCGGTTAGATGGTCTTCTCCGGGATCGGCATGCTGTTTACAATCCGTGTTTCGCAACCCTCGTTCCGGAACACTGTGATCAGGTCAATGGCATACGTGGCGACACCCACCTGATGGCACAAGAGAGCAAGAAGAACGAGGCATGTGTGCCCGAAAAGTTTGACTGCCCCCGTCTCGCAAGATCTTTAAGGCATCGAAGCCTTGAACCCTCGTTCTTGCGGAGTGTCGCCGTAGCCAGTTGCGAATGGATCCTGCCTCGGAGAGGTGCTCAGACTGAAGTTCCGAAGGGCGTGGGCGTGGGCGTAGCACCTGTGCCACTGCCTCAGAAAATGCCGTTCTGAATTCGTGATCCGAAGAGTCGTTTGTGCTAGTGCATCACGGTCGGTTCTGAAATGAGAACCACTGCTCTGAACCCACAAGCAATGATACATGTCACCGGTTGACGATGTTTCCGGTTCTGGATACTGTCCTTGATTGTGATGTGTGTACGGGCTGGGGTCCGAGCGTCGAAGGTTATATTTTTTCGCAGGGTCGAAGGTGTTTTTTCTTTTGCAGCAAATCGAAGCAAGATACTCCGGAGCTCTTGCAGGTTCCCTGAAACGGGCTCTGTCAGAAGCTGCAGCTTTCTTGTGTCACGGGATCCCTAAACCCTCAACCCTAGCTTTTTTGAAAGTTTCCCCAGTTCGCTGGGAAGGCCGGAGTTGGGAGGAGCCGCTTCGCGGAACGAAGTGCCGGTGTCAGATGAATGGATGAGTGAGTCGAGATTGGAGCTTCCAAAACTGCTTTAAATAAGCTTAGGGTTTAAGGTTTAGGGTCGTTGACCCCCGGTTCAGTGTTGCTTAATGTTGTTCGGCGACCGTAAAGCGTAAGCTTTCTTAAGCCAAACATGCCTCAGGATTGCCAAGGAAAGCTCAAAGCTTCCATCGGCGTTAATTGTAAATGAGCTCGCCACGAACGTGTAGCTGTCTGCAAAGCAAGCCAGTTATTCCGCCAGGCGCATCGAAAATACGAGACTCATAACTAAGGACTAGATTGGTTAATAGATATAAATATAAATATACATAATATTGAATACGAATAAATGAATATACATATATATATATATTTCTAGGCGGATTCAGATACAATAACCCAAAAGTCCTACAACTGATTTCGAATTCGGACCATCATGAGACGGAGATGATGACCGGAGACTCCACTTATGAATATATTTTGCGGGAATTTAGGAGAATTAAATCGGTAATTATTTCATTTAATCTTGATAAGAAAGGGATATTATTTCTTATCTTGATTATTTTGTCGCGTATCGATTAATATATATTTTGGACGAAGATTAATTAAATTTGTAATCTTGTTACTTCCTTAATTCTTATGAAAAAATTTTGAATATATTTAAGATAGAATTACATAGATAACAGAAAGAATCGCAGATTTATTCTATTAATTTAATTAGAATTTACGTGATATTTTTGGATTTTTATATTGGTAAAATTCTGAAATAGAATATATGATAATTTGATATGAAAATAGGTCTCTAGAATTGATTCTTATCTTGTGGTTTGTGAATAATTTGATTATATTTTGTTAAATGATAAGATAGAAAATATAGTAATTATTTTTTCGTTAATTGATTCGAGATAAGAATTAATTATTTAAGAATAGAGTTTTTGATGAAATATGAAAAGAGCTTTCTAATATTTATTATTTTGTTTTCTAATTTGATTATATTAAATTTATCGATTACTATTGGTTATTTAAAGCTTAAAGATATTCGAA